AAAAAAAAAAAAAAAGTATGTATGGTCACCCTATTGTAACCGATATCGATTATTTGCGAGTTTATGAGGCGATAACCGATATGCATAACTGAACCATTTATCGGTGGATCTGACATTACAAAACTGATATCTGATTATGGAAAAATGCACAAATATCGGGAAAAAATATTGGTAAAACCGATTAACGGTCCATCAAAAGTTTTGTGTAACACAACAATACAATAATGACTCCAAAACAAAGGCAAAAGTAGTCTAAACATCTTTAATTGTCAGTTACATATATTTACATAATAAGAAATTATATATGTACATCTTCTCAAATAGTGCATCAAAAGCACCTGAATAAAAAAAAAAAGGCAACTCAGTAATTTTACAACAATAAGCTCAAGTGGACACATCGTCAGCAGGATCAAATGAAACATTACAAACTTAATATTAGATCCCATAAGCAACCACACAATAGCAAGTTTGTTCATTCGTTCAATCTCATATAATTAAGGTCAGTGCATTTAAGTCATTTAATGCTTGTGGCAGAGTAGCACATGGTCGTTATTGCTTCAGATATACTCACAGCAGCAAACAAAAGGGCTCTTGAATATATTTTCTTTTCAATACTACTCAAACTAACTTAGGTCCAGTATGTATGATGTAATACAACTTTCCAATGTAATAAACTCTTTTAACCAATTAACACTTTGGTACAACTTTCTTTTTCAATGAGTAGCTTCATTGGATGAGTATGGGCCACTGTGCAAGATTTTGGACTGAATGTGAGATGTTGGAATGATGTTCCGGCTCAAACATTAATACAATTCTCATTCAAACAAACATCAAACTAGTGCAAATTAAAGAACCAACAAGACATTTTTTGTCTAACAACGGACAGAAAACATACAAAGTGCCATTTTTTGGTAGGTGCAAAATGTTAAAGCAAAAAGGCCTTCAAATTTACAATTAAAGACCAGTATTAAGCCTCATTTGTGAAACTTGAACTTTGTAGTAACTTCCACAAGAATGGTTTTACAAATTGGTTTTATTTATATTTCTGGTTAAAATGTTCACAAAACCAAAACAATTTATGCATACTATGCATATGCGTATTTACGCAATTATGCATAAATTGTTTTTGGAATAACCAGAGCAAATTTCAGTCTAAAATGGTTTTTTACGAAAAAGCAAATTGAATTTCTGTACAAAATAGTGCAAAAAATAATTCTTACATAAATAGTTGCATTCAGTTCAATATGCCGATTTACACTTCAATCGTTAACAGACATGTACATAAAAATTTGTTTTACTTGAAATTCGTAGTTTACTTGTGGTACATTGTTGCATTAAATTAATATTATTTATTTATTTACAAATTATTAAATTAATTTGGCTCACATTTCACGAATGAGGCCTTTTGTTTTAGTAGCTTTGATCTTTAACACAGTAAGCTTGGACCTGGCACTTCTAGAAACCTCTGGAGAAACACAGATTGTGCAAAACAAAGAGGCACACAACAGGTTATACGCTAAAATATAACCAACAAAAAGCAGATAGACAATAACATTACACATAAATCCCTACACATAAAAGCTTACCACAGGACTCAACAGCCTGTTGATTAAAAATAAATTGGATTTTTAAGGATAGAGGCAACAAACAAACAAAACACGGCACATAGTAAAAAACAATACGATTTTGTGTCTGAAGGCGGCAGTCCTTAAAAAGCAGAAACGTCTTGTTTGCACATAAAACTCTTTAGCATTAATGATCCATTGTGCTGCAGTCAGCAGGACTTTTAGAGCAGCTTATTTTGGACGGGAATCAAGAAACGTTTGGCTGAATATCAGTCACTACATTCACTGCTGCGCTGTGCTCTGGTGAAATCTTACTGGCATTGTGTGTTAGGTCCCGCTGGCCTCGTCCTCCTCTCTGTCCTCCTGCTCCTCCATGTTCTTGCGAGCCATCCGCTCTCTCCTCTCGGCGAGTCTCAGACAGCGGGGACACTGCTTCCCACCCTTAAAGCAGGTCTTATGATAGCACGCATGGCAATCTGCACAACAAAAAAACAGACCATTACAACCAACCACCATAACATGGGAAAAAGACCTAAAGAAAACATTGTAGTTTAGCTTAATAAATGTATAAATAAATGCATTGATGTATAAATAAGTGCATAAATGCATATATAAATAAATAAATGCATGTATAAATAATAGCAGAAATAAATAAAAAGCTGAATAAATAAAAAATAAAAAACAGAAATGTATAAATGCATATAAACACAAATATAAATGTATGCATACATTTATGCATTTTATTAATTTATGCATATAAATAAATGCAGAAATAATTGTATAAATAACATAAAAAAATAATATAAACATTATGTATTATTATATATTAAGGAAGAAAATCATAAATAAATGCATAAATAAATCCATAAACACAAACAAATAATTGTATAAAAACATGCATAAATAAATGTGTACATAATTGCACACAGAAACAAATTTATAAATAAATAAATACCTTTCAGTTTATAAATAAATACATGTATAAATTCATAACAAACTTATAAATAAATGTATAAATGCATAAACTTAACATAAATGCATAAATTAATGTTGAAATAAATGCTTAAAGAAATATAGAAAAAACAATAAATGTAGAAATAAAAGAATAAATAAAAAGCAGAATAAAAGCAGAAACGCAGAAATTCATATAAACAAACAAATGCATACATAAATGTATAAAGAAATGCATATCTTTATTTATATATACATTTAATATATATTTTATTAATGCAAAAATTCATAAAAATCGCATAAATGTATAAATAAATCCATAAATAAAGGAAGAAATAAATCCATGAATGCATAAACAAATAATTGTATAAAATACTATTTAAAATAAATTGAAAATACTTTTCAATTTATAAATAAATAAATGTATACATGCATAACATACATTTATTTCTAATGTAGAAATGTATGAAATAAAAAATAAATAAACAAATAAATGCAGAAATAAACTAAATTAGAAATACTTTTCAATTTATAAAAAAATAAATATTTATTTATATATACATTTAATATATATTTTATTAATGCAAAAATTCATAAAAATCGCATAAATGTATAAATAAATCCATAAATAAAGGAAGAAATAAATCCATGAATGCATAAACAAATAATTGTATAAAATACTATTTAAAATAAATTGAAAATACTTTTCAATTTATAAATAAATAAATGTATACATGCATAACATACATTTATTTCTAATGTAGAAATGTATGAAATAATAAATAAATAAATAAACAAATAAATGCAGAAATAAACTAAATTAGAAATACTTTTCAATTTATAAATAAATAAATGTATAAATGCATAATAAATGCATTTAGAAATAAATACATACATAAATAAATGCATTAATCAATCAATCAACCAATCAATAAGAGGGTCACCTTCACAGCGCAGGCACTTGCTGAGCTCGTAGGGGAAGATAATGTCCTTGTCATTTCCACAGAACTCACAAATGAAGCCCTTGGCCTGGCAGAGCTGTGGGGGAACAACAACAGAAGAAGAACAAATAAACCTGATAAATCTAGATCAACCGCAAATCTAGACCATAAAATATCACCTAAACCAGTGTTCTCAAACTCAATTCCTGGAGGCCCACAGCTCTGCACAGTTTCGCTCCAACCCAAATCAAACACACCTGATCCAGCTAATCAAGGTCTTCAGGATCACTAGGAACTTCCAAGCAGGTGTGAGTCGGAGCTGGTTGGAGCTAAACTCTGCAGAGCTGTGGGCCCTCCAGGAATTGAGTTTGAGACCACTGACCTAAACAAACGCAATGTTATGTAACTACTCACCACGCAGTCCGTGACGTGGCTGGAGCCGAGGCGCAGCAGATCTCGCAGCTTTGGCCCCAGACCGCCGCTGCGGACAGCCGTGAGGTCGTTGAGAGAGAACAGGTGAAAGTCTTCGGTCAGATGTCCAGGAAGAGTGTCGAACTGATCCAGAACCCTGTCAACAGAACAGAGACTTGAGACGCAGCGCTCTTCAGTGCCGTCTCGAAGAAAAAGTGCAGGAAAAACACTCACTCTTGAGCCAAACGGCACATTCTTAAGAGGTTCTTCATGTGGTTCAACTGTTCCCTCAATGCCTGTAATACAGGAAATTCATTCTTAATGAAGCAATACAAATCACAATTAGAAACATTAATTATATTATATTATAAGTACAAAAATCTGGGGTAAGAATACTCAAGCATTCTTTCAAAAATGATTTGATCGAAAGTAAAGAAAAAACACAGTAAAAATGGTAATATTGTGAAATATTATTACAATTCAACCACTTTTTTTAGTACATTTTAAAATATTATTTATTCCTGTCATGGCAAAGCTGAATTTTCAGCAGCTTAAATGTTTCTTTGATGAATAGAACATTTAAAAGAACAACATTTATTTAAAACCGAAATATTTTGTAACATTATACATGTCTTTACTGTCACTTTTGATCAATTTAATGCATCCTCGCTGAATAAAAGTATTCATTACAAAAAAT